GGTCATGCTGCTCTCACAAAGGCTAGTCTGAGTGGAGGAGCCCAGCACTGTGGCTGCCACATTCTTGCACACAGCAGCCTGGGGCTTGAACAGATTCACTGAACAGCCCCATATCACACAGATCTGGCCTGCGCTTTGAAGTAATACTAAAACACAGGCCACAAGCGTGAGGGGCCTCCAGTTAACAGCAGAGAGCAGGGCTGAGCTCACGCACATAAACCTTTGAAGAAAACGAACACACTTGCAGTCTGGGTTATTTCCCGCCCCAGCCATGTGCACCAGAGGAGAGTTCTTAACCTGTCTGTGCCTTGGTTTCCTTCCTACACACTCAGAAAAGCCACCTTTCTCTCTTATAGCAGCTCACTGCAAAGACAGCTCCATCAGTGCTCCAGAACACAGTTCTCTGAAGAAGCACTGAAGCCAAACTGCACCACAAGCAATATCAGAGCTTCACAGTCAATGCAGCTGGAGTAGGACTGGAGTAGGTCCTGAGGTTCCTCTGGGTGTCAGCTACTCTGGCCAGGCACTGATCAGCTCAACAGAATTCTCCTCTTTCCCACTCCAGTGATGCAAAGCTGACAGGGCTGAGCCGCTTGATCTCGGCTCACTAAGCCACAATCCCCAGAGAGAATCACTCACCTCTGTGTCCAGCTATTGCAACTCCACATGGCAAGGCAAGATACTCCTTTCTTGTTCTTGTACTACACTTTCCCCACTGACCACTACCAACCTCTCCTTCCAGCCTTTCACTCCACCCACCCATGCACAGCTCCTTGCAAGCATAATTTTTCCCCCCTCTTAAGTCTGTAGACAGCATTAGAAGAAACTGAGCACAAGAAGAGAGGCCTCTGAGGCATGAATGCAAGGCACTGCCCCTTGCAACAGCTCTACTCAAGGTAACGCATTGCTTAAGAACCAGAGCTTGACAACCTCTACAGTGACAGGGATGGGAAGGATCTCTTGCTCTGTGTTAACTTCCCTCCACTGTTTTCTCACTCCTCCTCCTGTTCAGCTTGACATCTGAGCACCATTTCACTCTTCTGTACACCCCTTTCCTTGTCATGGCCACACATAGCAACTAACCAAGCAACCATCCTGTCTGTGCCTGTCAGTGCCTGGTTAAAGCTGCCCCCAGAGAGCAGTCAGGGCAGGCACTCCACTCTGCCCTGCCAACACACCGAGCTCAAGTACCTGAGAGGACAAACTCCATTTCAATGATCCATTCAGCTCTGCTAACTTCTGCAGACAATGCTCGTAAGTTCTATGTACACACTCGCAACAGCTAACAAGCAACTGGTCAAAAGGAAAAATGTATATCCACAGGACTTCACACTATTTTCTTTTTCACATGGATTGTAAGAAAGTAGATACTAAAAGCATCAAACTAACACTGTTCTTCTTCCACCCCACACTGAGGAGGGAATCAGCTTTCACAGCAGGTCCCAAAGCCACAGGACTGCACGCAGGGTACACCAGATTGCAGTTACTTTCATACTACTTTGGTCCCAGCACTCAGCACTGTGTATTCTATGCACCTCCCATCAGTTCCGTTCTCTTGCATAGCCCTGTTAGAATACCTTACCCACAAAAAAAAAAAATTTTAATATCAGGGCACGTAAACTTTATTAAACTACATATAGAACAGGTGTCCCTTTAAAGCATGACTCTTTTCCTCTCTAAAAGGCCCATGCAGCAGGTTCCCTACTGTCAGGTGTAGACTCAAGTGATGAAAGAAAAATACATAAATGTTTATTAAACCTTTGTTGCCATTTACACCACCAACTTTCACACCCCAGTGCCAAGCTGTTAACAAATTCCCATGCTGTTCCAGAAGAAATTTCACAGCTCCTGTCAGAAAAGGGAAGTTTCATGAGGGCAGCACTCGCTGGAAAAGTCTCTGCTCCCACCACCATCAACAAAAAATCAGAACCAGCTGTTTGTGGAATAAATGTGTCCTGCCCAAATTGTATGGGAATAATGAGCTTCTTCCAGGGAGGCATGGGGCCACCTTCATGTATACGTCCTGATCCATTCTTGTCTCAACACTGTTTGTGCTACAACTTACCAATTTACCTAGCATGCAGGAATAAAAATGATCCACAATAAGGCGAGTGACCACAAGTCAGTAGATGAGGCTCAGGCCAGGTGACAACGGTGTGTGTGTGCTACAGATCAAATGTTCAGACACAGCATCACCTCCTCAGGGAGCTGTGCAGCTCCAGGCTGCAGCCCAGGCCAGCAGGGCCCCTCCAGGCACACGGCCCCCTCGGCACACACCACCTACCACCCGGTGCCATGTTCCCTTTATGCCAGCCAGGCTCTGCTGTGCTGCTGTACAGCTGGGAAGCACCAGGCAGGGCTGCACATGAGGCACACACCAACTCGAACCTCCGCAGCTCTGCAGGCAGAGCAAAGGCAGTGAGAAATCTACAGCAATTCTCTCTGCTGCCACAGCTCTTCTATCCTGCCCAACTCGCCCTTCTATCTGCCACAGCAGACCCTGTTCTAGAAAGAAAAGGCAAAAGCAAAACGCTTCTCGCAGGATGAAGTGAAATTGCAGTTCCCCCAAAAAAAGACGGGGCCGAAATGAAACACTTCCCCAATTCAAAAGGTGTTACATGCTAAATTACAGCTTAGACAGCTTTTACAATACCAAAGCTTTGACAAACCCATTTACTTTGTTCCTGGAGGACATGGGGACACTTCCTCATGTCACTGCTTTGCAGAGCATGATGCTCAAGAGCATTTTAAAAATGCACCTGAGGACCTTCAACTTCTCATGCAGACCCTGTAATTCAGTTGATCATAAAAAAGAACTGACCATTTATTAATATGTTGTGCTAATGGAAATCAATTCCAAGCACTAGAACAAAAGCAGACTTGTCCTACAATCATAATGAATGAAGTAAATAGCTTTATTTTCCCCACCTTTTTAGCATGAGAAAGTTGTGTTCCCAAATAAATCCTTAGAATACCAATTTAGTAGCACACTTCTGGTCAGCCTTAGTTAACAAATTAGCACACTGTACTCTATAAAGCTTTGCATTAAACAAAATAATCTCAGAAATCTATTGGCCGTCTCTGCCTATACCTCACCCCTCAGCTTACAGACAGCTAGCACAGAGGCAAAATACTACAGAACATGCTGCATACTTCAGCTTCATACCTCAAGATCAGCATGGTCTGCAGTATTTGTTCAAGATGCCTAAAAGACACTGGTGGACTGGCCCTTCAGTGTGAAGGTAAATAACCTGACCAAGAGATTTGTTAGCTGATGGATCTTTAAGGTTATTTTCTGTCATTCTAAATATTATACCATGTGATGTTGCCTAGAGGAATGTAATTGCTGCCTTAAAGATGAAAATACCTTAGTCTTTTCTTCTAGACTAATTGCAATAATTAGAGATTCAATTTCTGTTTTCTAGTGGAGATATTTGAGCAGCACATCAAGCGACAGATCAGTATCTGAACCTGCTCATTGTTAAAGCTCAGTGGCCATTTCCTCCCTGCACAGTGACTAATTTCCTTCATGAGTCAATCTGTCTCCTCCTCTCTATTCTCACAACAGAGCGATGCCACAAAAGCGAGGTTCCCCCGAGCGAGATGCTCAGCCAGCGTGGGTCACTGCACTGGATGACATGTCCCCTTGGAGCAGGTTTTCTGCAAAGCTCGTTCCCCTTCACAAGTGCCAAGAATCAAATCTTGGCCACCTAATGCAGCATGTTCCACATGTTAGCTCGCAACATGTTGGGCAACTGTGTTAACTGAGATGGATAGTGCTGTCAAACAGAAAGCTGGCTCACCAGGATGGAAACAGTGGGATATGCTGACCTTTTACATTCAGGAAAAAAGAGTCCCTAAGATGACACAAAGCATTTTGTATTGAAGCCCAAAACAACTACCTTCTTGCAGGGTTTTTACTACCATATTGTGTAAATAAACACATGTACATAAGCTCTGTCTGTATGAAGAACCTGAGCCTCTCAGACCAGAGTCTGACAGAGGAAATGAATCATTATCACCCTGCTTGGAAAGAAGTTTGCACAAGGAGCCCATGCGATTAACCACTGCCTGGAACTCCTGGATTCAACACCACCATTGCTCCTTCTGTTCCAACATTCAAATACCTAACCATACAAAACAGATCAACAGACAAAATTCAAATCCCCAGGCAAATTGCTATTAAGCTATTCAAAATGTGCACAGGTTTTATTGGTGATACGGAGATAAAACAAACTTACAGGCTTCTCATGCAAAAGAATAAGCACTGAAATAACCTGTTTAGTATAAAAAAGCCTCTTGAAATTCCAAGTTCATTCTGGAAAGATTTTTCCCAACCCACCACCTCCTGCCCATTTCCCTCAAGATTACGATTTTAGGTTTGGGTTTTTTTAAGCTTATATTTTGGGTAGAGAGAGGAAAGCTTTGTTTATTTTAAGATTTTGCTGCTAACAGAGAATCATCTCTGAGTGGAAGGGACTATGGAGCTCTATAAAGGGTTTTACAGCAATATAGTAGGTAAGCGAAAACAGAAATCAGCCTGCACATTTAGTCCTACAACTATTTGTCATAAAGACAGCATGCATATATATGTAACCATTATCTACAATGCATAATTTAAAAAATTAAAAACTACAATATGCTGTTCAAAACTGCCTTGATACAAAGAGGAATACTGGATACCATCTAGCTGTACACCTAAAGGTTCTATCTTCTGTGCTGACTTCCTCGAAGCAGCAACCTGCCTCATGATACAGAACAAGTGTGCCGTGAATATCCTGACTGATCATTATCACCAGATTTCACACTTCAGCAAGCTTTCTAGGCAGGCTAAAAATGTAGGGCTTGTTGTGCACCTAGTTTAGGATTAAGCAATTAACACAACTGATATAAACACTTTCAAGATTTGCTATCAATTTTCTTACTTTTTCCTTACATCAAACAACCTCAGGTGTGCTGTCTTCTGCAGTGCAGAGAAGTGGGAAAAAACTATTGAATACCTTGTGCCTGAGCTGCAGAGCTGTGGGAATACCCCAGAGCCAGGAGCGCTGTCTCCACCAGCTGGCTAAAGAGCACATCTTTGCGAACCAGAACGAACTCAGCATGCTCTTCTCGATTATCGTATTCAAGAGAGGCGTCTGACTGCTCCACCACACAAAAGACTGGAATCATCAAACCTACATGGAAAAAACACCAGGAAAAAAAACAAAAACACAAAGCATCAATAAGAGGAACAAGAACTGTGTCATACATGTCTGATTAAACTTGTAAATTAACACACCTCCTAGAAGACTCATCGTAAGTGGAAATCTGCCTTTCTTCCTTGTGAAATAATTTTTGTTTTCTTTCCAAGCAAAATACTGAAGTCTCATCACTTGACTCATTTAAAAACCACACTAAAAGCTCTAGAGGATACAGTTCAGGAAAAGAATCATAGCCAGCATGAAGATAAACAAGATTTCCTAATAGCATTTTCAACATTGGAGTTTTCTACAGTTCTATCAATGTCCCTGCCTCTTTCAGGTCATTTCTCCACATTCAGCCATATGAAAACCTGACACACAAATGCCACTTCTGCTTCTCTCTACACAGTGAAGTTATGAAGAAATCAGCAGAGTCTGATCCCCTTGGGGGACCCTGGGATATTTGTGCATTTTCAGATCATTTCCAGTCTTCTCACTGTACAAGGAAAAAACTCTTGCATTGATTTTGTTGAAAACTATAATCTTGTGTTGGCAGCTGATGGTCACTCAGACCCAGACAGAGACAAGGCTATCTTTCTGCTACATCCATGAAGAGCATGAGAACAACTCTTTTGGAAAAAGGATTGATGATGAGGAGCAACTACAGAAGTGGAAGACTCAGGGGGTGGTCCGGATTCAATTTTGTTGTATTTTATTGTAAATCTACTTTTGTGGTTATAGGATCAAGTTATCTATGACATTAGATAAATTGTGAGTTATAAACTTCAAGGGATTCAATACTACAGGCAGTAGAGAAATGTGCCAATTTGCAGGAAACAGCCCTACAGCATATTCCCAGAAGGAAGAGGGAACAGACGGAATTCTGCACGGCCATTTCCACCACCTGCTACAGGTCCATCTACCAGTCACAGACATTTTTTAACTGGCTACATATAACCTCTGAGTCCCTAGGTAAACTAGAAAATATTGATGCAGAGAACAATCTCAACCTAAAGCACTTTTCCAAATGTGCCATCTAAGGCTCATAATGTCACCAGCAAGTTCACCTCTTAATCTTGCTCTTCAGAATGAAATATAACCATTTCCACTACCTACTAACTACAAAAAATATCTGAGTATATTGATGAACTTCAGACACAAATCACTCTATTCTTGGACCAGACACTTCTTTAAGGGAAAAAGAAGAAAAAGCCACATTTCAGTTCTCCTTCATGAATTCTATTAAATATTTTTGAGCTACTGTCAGTAGCTTCAAAACCTAGTATCTCAAACCAATAGCTATATATTCCTTCAGAGGAGTCACCCTGCCCTGAAATAAACAGTCATACCAGCATCTGCTAAGGAACTTAAATACTCCTTGTCTTGAATTTTGAGATACTAGATCTACTTTAAAATATATTTTAGATAGACAGTTCTCAGTTAGTGATTTACCTAGCACAGAGAGACTCTCAATTTGACATTCTAGCTTCAGGAGCTATACACTACAATACCCACTTGATGTGTTTCAGTTCTTTGTTTTAAAACACATCTCAAAGTAACATGAAAGAAGGTTACAGCATCACATTGACGCTGCTCCCTCTTCACGGCTTGATTCTGGGTTAAACTGATACATTTTGCAAGTTCAAGCAGCCAAATTCTAACACATAGTGCTAAAAAAAATCTCAGTGAAATAAAATCTCTAGGTGATTTCCTGAAGAGACAGCACATGGGTGATCATATTCCTCTGAAATCAGTGACAAAATTTTTTCTCCTATCAAAGGTTAAAATTTGAATTCTATTTGTCCATACACCATTTAATTAGTTAAAACGAAAATAAGTCTCTTTAAGTGACAAACTTCCAGTCCTGTCGAACATACAGGCTGTCACAGCACTTTTCATGGGGCTATTAATGTCTTAGCAAAAGATTAAGATAATTGGCCAAATGCTGAGGCTGTAATATCAGTTGTGTAAATTACATTTTGGCAAGACAGAAAAAGTGGTGAAGCAAACTGATGAGAAGGATGTCACACTGTCTTTTATGCTCCTGCTGGATGCTTTCCTTGTCATACAACAGTCTTTCCTTTCCAGCACAGAAGTTGCACCTATTCTCTGCACACATCCTTTACTGTGTGAGTACAAACAAGATCTCAAATGCTAGAATGGATGCCATTCATTCTATCACTTTATGGATAGCACAAAGGACCCCACACAACTCCTGCCCATGATGACTCTCCTCTGCCCATGCTTGCAGGAACCCTGCTAAAGAAACAGCTTTTGAAAAAAACATCTCTGAACTCAGTGACTCAGAATAACTGATGATAAGCTGCTATTGTACCTTAAAAATCAGAGAGCAAAGGGCAGGTTACCACATCTGTCATTAATGACCCATTGTCATGCCTCTTACCGTAGCACCTGGAATCTTAATACTGATTTTAAAAATAAAATACAAAGCAACAGTAATCAAACTTATTTCCAAGCCAATCTCATTCCAAGGAAGTTTCAACTGCTTTGCTCTCTATTTCACATTAGAGAGTTAAACTGTCGTATCTCCAAAGAACTTACTACCTCAAACTACTGTTTCCTAATGTTATATGAAAATAAATATACTTTCAGTATCTTGGAATCAAAAGGAAAAACATCTGCAGACACCAATATGCTCTTTACATGCTGATATACACCATGGCTTGCTCCTACATGCATATATTACACCTCCAGCTCGCTACAAGGCCCTTAGAGAAGAGCAATACAAGTTAGTCACTACTCACTGTCATTCCAGCTGAAGAACTTGGAGCGGTACTCAGAGAGCTGGAGACCAAGCATCCATAGCAGTCTCACATGCGGCGCTACCGCAGCACAAGCCAGCCTTACTCATAAATCCTGGAACTCCTCAGCTCTTTCCCTAACGAGCGAGCAGCCAGAATCCCTGTCATCCTCCCTCGCCTGTGCACACGCACGGAGCAGGCTGAGGTCTCCCGGCACTGAACTCGCATGCACTCCTCTCCCAGCTTTAGAGAGAGGTTGCAGGGACCGATGCTGCACAGCTCATGGTACATCACACGCTGCTTTTCACACAGGGAGAAAACAAGGAGTAATCCGAGGGCTAAAAAGGAAAGCGCTTGTTTCCTTAAAGGACAAACACATCTCACACAAAACATTAACAGCAATTGCAAATCATACTAAAGGCTTTTTCTCCTTGATTTTGATTAACGTAACTGACTCATGGCCAGCTCTTTCACGCTTCCCACAGAGCTTTGACCCCATATAGATGGCATCTGCATAAAATGCCAGGGGAACATAAACCAAGATCTACAGAAAGGCTTTTATAAGGACATCCATAGGCAGCAAGAATTCCATCTAACCCACGAAAGAGAGCAATGCAAAACTGTTCCCACCATTACCCAGAAGAAGAGAATGGTTAGCAGCAATCAGTACCTCTGTATTACACATTTAAAGCAAATCAGAGATGTGATTTAAGCTCCACTGTTGCTTTCACAGAAAAGCTGCAATGTACGGAGACTTTGTAAACAGACTTGCGCTTTTTGCCAAGACTCTTCTAAGGGGCAGAGAAATTAAGAAGAAATTAATTATGTATCAAGGAGACCAAATGCACATTTTCTCCTCCTTGACCATTTTAATCTATAGTTTTATTTCACTGAGAAGTAATCAATTCTTTAAAAATGAAGGAAAGAGAAATAGATATTTTATTAGGGAAGTGAAAACCCAAGATACTCTGCTACATGAAGTGTTCATTTCTACAAAAAAAGACTTAGAGTCAGTTAAAAGCATTATCAATCTGCAATCATACAGCTCCCTGGAAAACATTTTCAGTTGTAAGACTTCCAAATAAAAGCTGCAGATTTCTAATGACAAACTAGAAGGAAGAGAAGAAAGCAGTTATTAAAAAGACCTGCACTATTTCTTTTGTTCATTTGCAAGTAATACTTTGTCCAGCACATGCTTTTTTAAGTAATAGATATGATACTATTGGCACTTAACTTCTATGCATGGTCTGCTTGCACAGAAGCATCACAGGCAGAGCACAAAGCTGAGAGCTCTTACAGCCACCCACCTCTCCGGCCATTAAACAGGGAGCAGAGCTTGTGTGTCCTAGTAAGAATAAAATGAACATCAACTAGAAAGAAAAAGCACCAATAAAATTTATTTCTTTTTAGATTAAAATCTCTTTCCATCAGGTGAAGTTTTGAGTCCATCAAGGTGTTATTTAATTTTATCTAATTTGAACAATTTCCAAACATTAGGTTGATTAATTTCAACAGCATGGTGTTATGGAAAGATTTACTGTACAGGGGTTGTCTAGCAGGGAATTAATAAAGAAGCCAGTTCTTTGCCCTGAGTAACATGAGGTTTTAAGACTTCCCAGATTTCTAGTGGGAATACTTCACAGCACAAGCATGTTTTCTTCTGGGAGTAAAACCCACCAAAATTATTAAAAACTGAGATCAAATGGTGGTGTCAAACCCAAAGGAAATCATTCTACAGTGGAGAGATTTTTATCAAGTGAAGAAAGTGGAAAATAAAGTTGTTGTTGTTACTGTTATGCTTTGGGTTTTTAGGTTTTGTTTGTTTGTTATTTTTTTGTTTTGTTTTAAACAGAACACAGACATACATGCAGAGTAATCTTCCCCGAAGACAAAGCAAATTTCTTTGCTTTGAATGGTTTGGAGTTCAGAAACCAGGACATCTACTTGAAAATTCATAAACTACTGAAAATTCTTCATTGCTTTATGTAGAAAACATTTTCCTTAGCAGAGACTGCAACGTGGGCCACTCTCTAAGGCTTTTCCACCACAGAGAAAAAAAATAAATAAAAATCTTGGCAATTGCAAGAGCAGAATCCACAAATGCTTATGTCCACGCACACCTAAAAACCACTGAAGTACAAGCAACTTTGGTTGGACTTCTAAGATGAGACCCTTACTCTACAACAGAAACTAAGAAGCACAATTAGCAAAGCATGGATTGTCTTGAGGAAA